CCTTTGGAAGAAGCTAGAGAGCTTTGTTCTGATGCACTGGATGTATATGCTCCACCATTCTCAGATCTACCAGAGGTATCCTGAGGTTTGATGAAAGATCCCTGTCAAATTACCACAAATCAATTGATAAGGAAGATAAAAGCAAAGTGTTGTCATTTTTTCTTCTAACTCAAATCAACTTGGGAGAAAAGATCAGTTCACAAACTCTTAAATCATATTCCTTGAGATTCATAATTACGATCTTAATACTCAAAAAGAACAAAACAAACTTAGTTCCTCTGTAGCTACTACAAGACAACTAGCTACAGAGGAAAAAAGGTTTGATTTTTTCTTGTTTCTAGGAACAACTACATTTACCCATCTGCAGTAATTCGATGCTCAAGCTTTTGGAAAACGTAAGAGACCTCTCCATAAGCTCTTATCTTCAACAAATAATGAGAGAAAGACAAAAAAAAAAAAAAACCCAAATTTGGAAACTAAATAAAGCAATGAGCAGAGAATAGTTTTAGGGTTTACCCTTTTCATGGCGACAGCAGCACAAGCTAGATTGAGTTTATTCTTGAGGAACTCTCTGTATTCGTCGGAATCCACCGGAGAAGGAGGTCCATCACACGCCGTCGCAGCTTCTCCGGCAGTGGCGTCGGAGGATTCTTGGATGAAGCGATGGAATGCCCATTCGGAGTCGCTGCGATTCATCGCCGTCGTTCCATTATCAGCCTCTTTTTCTAACGCCGACCAAAGATGGTTACCGGAGATTTCTTCGACGGACAAAACTTTTTCCATTTTTGTAAAAAAATTTTGCCTCGACTTCTCCCTACAACACTTTCTTCTTATCCGATTGGGCAGTCTTTGCATTTTTAATAATATGTTCTTTTCAACTTTTATTATTTATTAAAAGATTTTTAATTATCATATTACCCCTTAAGGTCCCGACAACGATAGTTTATTTCTATGCACACCAAAAACTTTTAATTTACTATACAAGATCCCTATTTTCCTCTTAATAAGAAAAAAAATATGTAGTCATGGCATTCTAGACAGTATTCAGATTTCTTTTGATTTTGAGTAATTCGGATATGGAAGAAAAGACAGAAATTAAACCGGAAACATAAAAATTAATTGAAATATGGTAATTCACGAACGGATTTTATAGTTGTTCTTCTCTTTTTTTGTCAATTTTTTTTCAACGATTTTATAGTTCATGTAATCTAAATTTTGACTTTTTGATTATTTTATTTGATGTAAAAAATGGACGGTTATGGGTTTAAATAATTAGAAAAACAAATACTGGTGTAATCAATGAAAACATAAGACTATGAGGGGCTTAAAGTAATATTGTTGATTCTATGAATAACACGTTCTAATAAAATTGTTTTTGGCTGCCTTGTTGAATTAAATAATGTTTTACACCGCTTTTGGGGTCATATCCAAATCAGACTGACGTGGCAAAAGGGATATTTTAGTCAATTTAGAAGTAAATCTGACTCGTAAGAAGATTTAGTTTTAAATTTAGTATAGCGTCGCTATTTTTGTAACTTACTTTCCTTTCGAGGGTCCATTCAATATTCCCATTTGCATTAAGGAAGGAAAGATCCGAGAGAGAGATATCATGATATATTATGGCAATAAATGGTGATATAAAAAAACAGTTAGATTTATTAATTTAACCAGTTAGATTAATTTAACCAGTTAGATATATAGAAAAACAGTTAGATTCAACCAAATTCAGTTAGATTTATTAATTTCGCAGTTATCATTTGTTATATAAAAAAATTTCGCCAAATTTAGGTATATTCAGCAATTCAACAAAAAAATATATTGCAAAATTCAGTTGAACTAGATTCTCACCCGTATTATGTGCGGGAACATTTGTTGTATATGTTGTAACATATATTAGTTTTTATATTATGTCGTATATAATATGTTCTAACTTTAGATATGTATGTTTTTAGTTTGTAGGTGGAATTGATTAGTTTGAAATAATATGATGGTTTTTGTTTTTAGTTTTTAGGTAGAAATGAAGTAGTTTGAAGTATAGTATTTTATATTGAATAGTTATTAATGGGAGTGCAAATAGTTGACTATGTTGTATTAAATTATATGGACAAAAATTGAGTAGTTTTAAATAAGTTTATTGTTTTTTTTTAAATGTTTCCACTTTGCATTCCGTTTAGTCATTATTTATGTTTTTATTTTATCTAAACTAATTGAGTTTATTTGTTTAATTGGATTTATTTGTTTGGTAAAGTGTTTTATTGAGATAATAGTTATGGTATTTATATTACTCATATACTAATTCAGTTGAAAGCAAAAGTTTCTTTTTTTCTCTATTTACTACTTCTGTAAATCTTTTGTTTAAAATAAAATAAAAATTAAATATTTCTCTATTTATAACTTTTAAAATTTAATTTTTGTCTATCGTTAATAAAGTATTAGGTTAATTGGCAATGGAAAAAAGGCTATAACTTTTAAGTCCAACCAATCATCTTCTAGCTTTTCATTTTGAGAAAATTTTTAAAAATGCCATTTTTCAAGTGTCACTATACAAAAATGCCACTTTTTCAAAATCTTTGCAAAAATGTCACTTTTTCAAAATTATTTTTTCATTATATCATTTATATTTGGGTTAACTATGTTGTATTAGGGTTTAGTTTTGAAGGTTTAAGGGGTTTTAGGGGTCAAAACATTTTTTAGGATTTATAATTTTAATATTTAGGCTTTACAAATTCATAATTAGTGGCATTTTTGCAAATTAACATCCCTAAGTGGTATTCTTGCAAATGGACATACCAAAAGTGGCATTTTTGCAATTGCCCCTTTCATTTTTTACTCAGAGCCAAAATATTTTTCGTTTTTTGTTTTTGCTTTACAAAACATATTTAAGATTCGAGTCAATTTCTCTCTCTTCATTCTACTAAAACAACTATTTTCTCATATATTTTATATTTGCAACATTTCATTTTTTTATATAAGATTGTGATATTTAAATACTTTTATTAATAAGTGAGAAATCTTCTCCAAAAATTTAAAATCTGATGTTCACAATTATTTCAAGGGTGGAACACATTTTTCTACCAAGTAATTGCGAAATTTATAGGTATAACCAAAGTAGTTTATGAACATTTAATTAACTCCGGAATTCTATTTAAAAATTTATATTATTACTCTTATCATTACTCAAAGCTATAAGATTCAATTTATATTTGCAATCTTCCCGTTTGTATATGTAAGTCATGAATTATATCTTTGAAGTTTATGATATTAAAGAAAAACATTTATTAATAACTAATATAAATTGACTAAAAAAATTTAAATCCATTGTTTTCAATTATTTTACGGATGGAATAAAATTTTATATAAAAACGTATATATATATAAAGCGGGTTGGATTTCGTATAACAATATAACTATATTTTTCTTCTAAAGCTATATTGGATTTACTCGCTATTCGTTTTATCCCGTGTAAAACGCCTAGTAGGTTCTATGTTGGTTTTGATACTATGTTCGGGAATATTGTTTGTTTTATACTTAATTGTCCATAATATTTATAGTGTCAATTATTTCGTACAT